TTTCCTTCCTCACAGTACATTTGCTCAAATATTGACATATCTTCTGCTAAACACTTAACTATACATATCTAAATCCATATGCAGGCACGCATATACCTATGCATTTGTACATACATACACACACTTGGCAAAATTCATTTTTGTTCTTTATGACAGCTCCCCAAAAACAATAAAAGATGACCTTTGGCAAACTGCTTATACCCACATCTCATGCTTTCTGGGTTTTTCGTACGCTGATACAAGTGGTTATGCCTTCCCGAGGCCTGCTTCACGTGTGGACTGGATTTTACCTTGTGCTATTTTCACTGGCAAAACAAGAATGACACTGCACCTCCCTCCACTCTTCCCAAATTGGAAAACAGAAGGAAAAATAATCTCTCTGAATGTACTACCTTGATGCCACAGTGATGACCGTTTTTGTTCATGTCTTCCGGTATAATTTGTAGACTGCTTTGTTTCACTTAACATTATTTCGTAAGTGTTTTGCTATGATGCTAAATAATCTCTATAATTATCCTTTTAATGGCCACCCAGAGTGAATGTAAACCATAATTTACTTAACTGTTTACCTATTGTTAGGCATTTCATTGCTTCCATTTTTCACTCCTTTAAGTTGGAATGCACATTTTCATATCAGCCATTAATTTAAAGTGGCATGCCGAGATTGGGTCTCCATCAGTAATCTAAAACTATAGGGTTTATATATTTACAACTCACATTTGACTATGAAATTTAATTCGAGGGTAATTAAGACATTTATATTCCAAACAACTCCTTGACATCTAGCTTTCTCGAGCCAAACAGGCACAACCATGACTAGCCATTTTCACTTCAAGACAGCACAGTCCAGTGAATTCTAAAACACAATTTTCTTAGGAAAAATAAACTTTATGAACATACTCCTGCTGCTTTAGAGCCAAGAGATTAACTCCAAGAACCAGAGTCTGTGGTTCTCTTAGGTGACCCAGTCAAGGCAAGCCATCATGGGGAATGCCACTGGGGCTTCGTGCTCAGTCCAGAACCTCAAGGCAACTCTCACTCGGTGGTCCAACACCAACTGTGGTATTAGAACTACCCAGAGGTCCGTGCCTGACCAGCACCCAGATACGCTGTGGGAGCAAGACAAGGACATTGCTCAGATGAGTTTCAGTTGTTTAATGCTTTTAAAGCTTATCATGAATCATTTGAAGTTACAGAGTCCCTTGAGCAGGGGTAGTGGTTTAGGGCATGTGATTCATATGGATTGAGCTATTTCAATAGGTGTGGCCCACTAGCCATGTGAATCTGAGCAAGTTGCCAAAAACAACCCCAAAACCATGTGCCTCAGTTTCTCAATCTGCAATATGAGGATATCAGTAGTGGCTGCCCTATAAGGACGTGATGAAGATCAAATCTGGCCATGAAATTGCAACTGCTGTGCATAGGGGAATGCTGACATTTGATCAGCACACAGGAGTCCTTAACTACATACATGCTTACTGAATGTTAACGTTACATGGTAACGTATGTACTTTCACTTGCCAAGTAAATGCATGAAGGAAGGATGAATGAAGTAGTGTGGAAGACGGTTACACTTGTCTCAAGGACAGTCCTCTGTAGAATGTCCCATTTCCTTTCATAAGGACATCATTTTCTTAATGGTAATCACTATAACCCTTACCGTCCACCCCAATAAAGAGCAAATGAACACCCCAAAAAGATGTGTCCACCTTAGTAATTCTTAATGTCCAGAAATTCAATTTTAAAGCTTTAGAAAATGTCATCCAGCCATCAGAACTCATAACCTCACGTGAAGCCAAAATAAACCAAACGCAAAAATTCCTGTTTTCCCTATTCAGGCAATAAGAACAACTCAATTACTATTACTGTTTTTTTTTTTTTTTTTTTTTTCAGTCAGCAATAACAAACTAAACAGATTAAACATCCCAAGTATTACCATCATTTTTACTAATAAGGAAATGATTTTTATATACTAGCAGCTCTCGATAAAACACAGAAGGGCTAGGAATTTTTTATTATTATTTGGCCACTGGCAATTAATTCTTCTGATCTGTTGTATTAGTTTGATGGTTGGGTCCAAGACCTAGAATATTTCTTACCCCAGCCAACTGATGTAAGAAAATTATTTCAGTGCAGTCCCTAGCAAATGGTGATGATGAATAGCATGGCAGGACACACGTATTCAGACACACATTTTTTAGAGGTAGCAGGGAAAAGGCTGAAAAATTACTAGTAAATTGCTTTTTGTAAAAATGCTCTTTCAAATTTCCCCTAGTATGAAGGTCTTCTGCAGAACGATGGCACAATACATTCTGACATACCTGGACAACAAAGGCAGTTAAAGGATGAACAGGAGATCAGAGTGAAGGTTAAGATTTAATTTTCTTATTCCACCCCCACTGCCACCCATACTGCCCCCCATACCAAGCTGTCCTGGGTGCATCTGTTTAATCTGCTGGGATAAGAATCTCTAAAAGCCACCGAAGCTTTCTCATGAACAGGCACACCTTGTCCCTCCTTCCACCTAAAATCTAGCCATCTCAGAGGAGCCAAGATATTGGTGCATTTCCAGTCTGTTTCTTTCCTTTTCTCTCCTCTCTAAAACTGCCCAGTTTTTCCAAGTTTCAAATTGTAGTAATCTCCAACTTTCCCCAGCCCCTCGTAAAGCACCAAGGACTTCCTCTGCTGTCCACGCAAGCCTCGCCTTTCAGGACACACTATAGGGTAATGGAACAGGAGCCTGAGGTATCCAGAGGCTGAAGGGCTAGTGCAGTGGTTCTCTGCCAGGCAAAACTCTGCTCCCAGGCTCATTTGGTAATGGCTGGAGACATTTCTAGCTGTCATACTGGGCGGGAGCCATGCTACTTCTTCTATTCAGAGGAGAGAAGCCAGAAGCCAGGGATGCCACTGACCACCCTGCACTGCAGGGGACAGCCCATCCGACGGCAAATGATCTGTCCTGAAATACCAGTCGTGCCATGATTGCAAAAGTGGTTCCATCTAAATGAAATGCTGCAGAGATTGTTTTGTTGTTGTTCTTACACATGATTACCTGTTAGTTGTTCATGGCATGATGTATGAAGAATTTGATTCCTTCACTCTTTCATTCAGTGAACAGCAGTGGAAGCCGGCAAGGTGGCAGGACCAGGCTGGGCTGAGATGTAGAGGTCAGTTTAACAAAGGGCCAGTCCTGTAACTTGCTTTTGGATGGGGGCTGTGAAGTTGTCTCTTCTTCCCCTTTACAGAACCACCATGCACCTCGGCCTGTCTAACTGAGTAAGGGCTAAGGAGGTGGGGAGGGGTCATGTCTCTGCCTGTGGGACACCTGGGTCTATGAGAAACAGCCTGGATTCGGAGGTCCACTAAAGCAGGGCCCTGCTCCTGCCTGTGCTTCTTATTTGCTGTGTGACACAGAAAAGTGACATGACATCTCTGGACCCTATATCCTCCTTGAAATGGAAAGTGTAGCCTTGACCTTCAGGAACATTTCTAAGTCAGGTATTCTGCATGTGGACCAGCAGAGCATCTGGTACTCAAACCACGCCACTCCAGATGCAGTGGCCATGCCGCGAGTGTCACAGTTCTTGTGGCATTTTCCAATGAGTGGTGCCACTGCTCTCGGGGCTGGTTTTTCAGACTCCCCCAGGACAGGGCACAAGGTGTGTCTGCAGCCGGGCGGGGGTCAAGGTGGACCAAGCCTGCGTGCCTGCAGCTGTCACGGGCCCATGTCCATGACCTTGCCTCTCTGGGCACTTGGCTGCTGTCCACCTCGGTACCTCCCATTTGACTTTCTTCTCAAACATAAGGGGAAAAAAGGCAAAGTCTCACAAACGACATACTTAACCCTATTTTCTTGCTTTAAGTGCAACTATCAAATAAGTTCTTCCATGTGCAATAAACAGCTGTGAATCTGTCTAATAAAGTGAAGGCATTTTACCCCACTGGTATTCCCCGAGAGGAGTCACTGGCCACCTGCATCTTTTTAGCTGCATTTAATAATTCAGCCCAGGATGAATTTGCATGATTAACATAAAGCCTCATAGTTTTATTTTCTTTCAGAATGTAAGTACTGAAACAACCACCACCATTGTTTTCATTTTTGGAGGTTGTGATCAAAACACAAAACTTGATTCTAGAATGAATAATTTCCTTTTTTTTTTTTTTTTTAAATTATTTAACGATAGCCTGTGATGAAGTGGAAGGCTTTAATTATTCAGACAGAGCTAAAACTTGAAGCAAGAAATATTTTTTAAATTATTTCCAGTGCCACTCTCCATGGAATCAAAAGAGTTGCTAGCACAGCCTTGATAGATGCAGGGAAACCCATGTTCCTTTTAGGACTGGTGTTAACATGTTAACCCGTGAGAAGCAAACCGCCCCACGACGACTTCTCCTTATGGTTCCCATCCAGGAGAACGGCCAGCTCTCCCACGGAATCCATAACGGCTCATGCAAATAGATTTCTTTCAGTTCCTCCTCGGAGGGCTCTCCACATTTATCTGCTCAAGACGTAGCATCTCCAGTAAGCCTTTAAAACAGCAGCTCTCCCAGATTCCAGCAATAGATTAATGACGTCATCCTCAAAAAATAGTCAAAACGCAAACCAAATTAAGTAGCACTTGGTAAACCATCTGCCTGTGAAGGGGAGTCACGCGTGTGAAAAAATAATTTGCAAAGCAGAAGAGGCAGCATCATTGGGTTTCTTGATTAATGTAGTAAAACAGGTTTGTCTAATGGGGAAACATGCATTACCATCAAAAGAAAATGCAAGTGTATCCCACCTGGAAAAGCAGGCAGGCTTTCATATCCGAGAAGCATTTCAAGCCGTGCTGCCAGCAACTCTCAGCCCATGTGATTTTCCTTAACACAAAGGCCGACCTCACCTGCTTAAATACAATTAGGAAGCAGGCGGTCATTGTAGTGGCTAAAACTTTGTGCGGCCGGAGCTTGCATGTGTATTTCTGTTCCACTGACAACTCTGTTGCTGTTTCTGAATGCAGGAACCATGGTCAGTAAGGACACCGGCAAATGCATACTCACAGCGTCGGAGAGTGAAGTGGAACCTGCCGCCTGCCTGGCCCTGGAGATGAAATACGCCCTGGACCCCAACCGGCAGATTAAAAAACGCAACAAAGCACTGCAGGTGCGGTTTAAGGATATCTGCGAGGCACAGAATGAGCAGAGGGACACACAGCTGTCCTCCGGCCAGCTGGGGGAGAGGCGGGAGGCCAAGCCCGTGTCCTGCAGAACAGCCTACCGCAAATACATGACAGTGCCCGCGCGCAGGTCCATCCCCAACGTCACCAAGAGTACAGGTGTGCAGACCTCGCCAGACCTTAAGAAGTGTTACCAGACCTTCCCTCTGGACCGCAAAAAGGGGAACCTTAAAAGCCTCCCTGCTGCAGATCCCTTTAAAAACCAAAACAATGGGTTTCTAACAGATGCAAAAGAGAAGAACGAGGCTGGACCCATGGAGGAGGCCCGGCCATGTGGGGCAGGGCGCGTGCACAAGACCACAGCCTTGGTTTTCCATTCTAACGAACACATGAATGCAGTGGACCAGCCTCTGGGGGTCAACTGCACAGAGCCCTGTAAAAGCCCGGAGCTGCTCAGCTATGGCGAAGCTGCGCTCCAGAACTCCACTCGGCCCCCCTCCGAAGAGCCCAATTACCAGCTGCTCGGGAGGGCCAAGCACGACCGGGCGAGGCCGAACTCCGAGGAGCCCGCTCCACCTGCCCTCGGGAGGGTGTTTAAAACAGAGGTTGCCACCGTTTACGCACCCACCCTCAGTGCCAGGGCCCCTGAGCCTGGTTTGTCAAACTCTGCGGCCGCCAGCCAGTGGTCACTCTGCCCAGCAGATGAGGAGCAGAGGAGAGCCACACATCTCAATGGGCTCCAGCCGCCCTCGGGCACTGCCCTGGCCTGCTCACCCCCCGTGCAGTGCCTGTCCCCCGAATGTAGCGAGCAGCCCTTGCAGACTCAAACCCCGCCGGGGCTGGGGAACCAGCCTAGTCCCACAGCGGTTGCTGCAGGTGAAGAATGCCAACAAATCGTGCCTCATACAGAAGTGGTCGACCTCAAAGCACAACTTCAGATGATGGAGAACTTGATCAGTTCAAGCCAAGAAACCATCAAAGTGCTCCTGGGGGTCATTCAGGAGTTGGAAAAAGGAGAGGCCCATCGGGAAGGGTATGTATGTTCACCCATGTCTTAGGAAACTATGCAGGTTCATCACCAGAGGGTCCATGTGTAGCCCCAAACCCAAGTCCATAATGAGACTAAAGCCAGCATTTCTGTAAACAGGCCACAGTGTAAGGATATGGCCAGCTCCAAAAGGTCAAAAGGTCACAGATAATTTTATGACACCAGACCTCCCTGCATCTGCACGATACACTTTCTGGTTAATGTTCCTCTTTCTGGCCTTGAATTCAAACCACACCTATGCTTAGAATGAACGGATAGACATTTCCTTTTATTCTGCTAGGGTAAAGGTTTATGATATTGATCATATGTAATAACTTATGCCAGTCCAAAATACCTATTCTAAATAAGAAGCTATTTGCCTCTTAGGAATCAGATTGGGAAGAGAAAGGAAATTTCATGTGACATTTGGAAAAGTAGATGCTGACTTGCTTATAATAATACATAATGGAAATAGTATTGGTATTCAGGACTGTGCAAGGCTTTACATAATAGACCGCGTGTTTTTCATTCTGTACCTGGAACTCAAGCAATGACCATCGTGAGACAGGTCCCAGCTGTGTGTGGTTAGGAGACAGATGCCCGTCCACAGGCTTCACTGCCTGTCCAGTGGGGCTGCAGAAAGAACGCTACCAACTTCACTGCCAATACTTTGTCAGGTTGATAAGACTTTGTTGCACTTCACGTTTTGAAGTTGAAACTGTGCAGCAGTTTCAACTTTAAAACAAATGACCTAAAGGCGGGGCTTTAGTTCTTGAGCTCTCCTGCAGGCCGGCATGTGCTCAGCTGATACAAAGCAGCCTATGCTACTCTGGGTCCGTGGCTTATCAGACTTCAGCCGGACTGCCAAGACCTCTCTTGCTCATTGCCCCTCGAAAGTGTCTGTGTTCCTGCCAGCCTATGTTCTGGAGGTTATATCTGAGGCAGTTCCCTGTTGCCTCATGTGATGTGCACCCTTCACTCTGTGAGCCCTGAGCCCGGGTTTAACAAGCTAGAAGCCAGCCTGAAATAAGTAATGTGTTTTCAGGGCAGAAAACCACTTGGGCACAGAGGACTGCTGTGGCTGAGTTAGACAGTTGTTTGCTGACTGCAAAGAACAGGGAGGAAACACCTCCTGCCTTAAGGTGGCAGCTGAGGCGGAAGGACTGGCTCCAGCAGCAGAGGCTGGGGCAGGTCCTGCCCTTGGTTCTCGTTGCTCCAGCTTGGTGCAGGAGGCCTGTCTACAAGGAGCTGGTTCTCAACACCACCTTCCACCTTCTATTTAGATGGTAGTATTTGCACTTGATGCTCTTAAGCAGAAAGAATTGCCAGCCAAATGTATGACAATCTTAACAGTAGATTCATAGGTAATCTAACACCATAGAGTATTTCCAAAAGGCCTTGTTCAGTCTTGGGTTTATAGCTCCATTTTCATGCCATTTTGATCAGTACAGATCCGAAAGCAACACTCATCGGGGGGGGGGATGGGGGAGATCAGTGATTTACTGATCAGTAGTCCACATTCCCGCAAAAAAATTAAAGGCCCAAACAGTGACCCAGTCACTGACGTTGATGTAGTTGGTAGTGTATGAAGCCAGACAGCACAAGAGAAAGATGCCAACATCACCAGTTGGGAAATAACGGTCACCAAATGGTGTAAAATGAAATGTGTACACTAATGTGCATACTCACAGGGGTTATATGCCCAAATAAGAACCTGAGAAGGCTGAACACCCATGAACACCACTGGAAAGGAAAACCATATGATATACGTAAGGTCCTTCTTACACTACTCTTAGAACAAGTATGGAAGATTGCCTTATCCTCAGGGTTCTCTGAGATGCCATCCATCTAGCAGTGTGGTTCTGAGTTTACTAAGACATGTCTGGGTAGGAATTCTGGCACTGAGGGCTTGGGCAAGGGCTGTATGTCTCTGTGCCTTCCTTCCTCACCTGTAAGTTGAGATTATTGCCTGTCCTGCAGATAGGGGGTGGAATGACATGGAGTTACCTTATGTGTTCAGCCTAGTGGCAGGTGTGTCTGAATGCGTAAATGTCTGCTAGTGGCAGGAGTCTTAGTCTTGCTGGTCAGCAATGCTGGAGCAGGCGTCTGGGGAGGACTTAGTGGTCCTGTGGGCGTCCAATGTGGTGAATGCATCCCCTACATGCCTGGCATACAGGCTGTCCCTGAAACCCTGGAGCTGCTCTGCTGGTGGCCACTAGCTGCATGTGGCTACTGAAATTCAAACTCAAATCAATTACAATTGAAAATTCCACTCCACAGTCATAGCAGTCACATTTCAAAGGCTCAGAAGCCACATACATAAGAGAGTGCAGATATGGAACATTTCCATCATCACGAAATGTCCTTCACTCTGGCATCCCGGAACATGGCACAGTGCCTGGTTCTTAAGCATTTGAGGACTTGGGCGCCTTAAATCAAGACAAAGGATGGTTTTACTTTAAAATCAATCCCTAGTTCAATTGTTGCCCACACAGGACAAGCTCAGGGTGGAAGGTAGAAAGGCAGGTCTCTGTAGTGTTCCTGGGAACATGCATTTCCTCCTCCCTCTTGGAGCCCTCTGCACTCAGATAACAAAGAATCAAGTGGTTCCAAAATCCAAGGCACCTTATGGGGCCTCCTCTTGCTTAATGCCCAGGGTCATTAATTTGGCTGAAATACAGATTTCCCACCCGTCTTCTCCATGTCACAACATAGGACAGGACTACAGAGATGAGCAGATTAGATATAATCTCATTCTCCATCCCTGTCCCAGACCCTGGGTACAGCACAGAGTCCCAGGAGTGACAGCCATGAGCAGTGGCAGCCAGCACTGGGCTGAGACATGTGAAACAACAGGCTCTGGAGGGAAGGGAAGTAGCAGCTGCTGATTTCCATGGTGTAAATACCGCTACCGTAGCTGATTTCAATCTGCTCACAAAATCCTAAAAGTGTGACACTCTGCTCCCCTGAGCCACCCAACCCATCCATTGAAGGGCAAGCTCTAGGACTTTAAAATGAGGGGTCCACAGGGCTTACTTTATGTACCAGATCTGAGCTGGGAAGTAGATATTTTGGTTGCATCTCATGGTTAAAAAAAAAATGCACTCTGCTTCGTGTACATTGATATATAGTTATTATATGACAGGACAAATAACTGAATGACCAAGTTAAATTATCAATGGAGGCCGGGCATGGTGGATCACGCCTATAATCCCAGCACTTTGGGAGGCTGAGATGGGTGGATCACTTGAGGTCAGCAATTCGAGACCAGCCTGGCCAACATGGTGAAACCCCATCTCTACTAAAAAATACAAACATTAGCGGGGCGTTGTGGTGAGCACCTGTAATTCCAGGTGCTCAGGAGGCCAAGGCAAGAGAGTTGCTTGAGCCCAGGAGGAGGAGGTTGCAGAGGGCCAAGATCGTACCACTGCACTCCAGCCTGGGCAACAGAGTGAGACTCCATCTCAAAAAAATAAAAATCAATGGATTTTTTCTTGGAAAATACTCTAAAGCCTACAAATAAGGAACTGGAGAACACTCTCAAGCTGGGGAAAAGTCAGTTTCTCTCCCCACTTTCCACCCCAATAAAGCATACAGGGGTTTCGAATAAAATTTCATCTGCATTCAGAAGAATCCTGGTGAGGGCAAGCAACTTGGAGCCCATGACTTTGAATGCAAGTGACAAATCTTGCCCCCACATTTCCACACTGTCCTCCAGGTTTGACATGCCCCAAGGGGCCAAGGGCCTGCTCGTGGGGAAGCCAGCACTCTCTGAATCTCACTGATGGCCCTGGGCAATGTGTTTCTTAACATGTTTATTGTGCAATCTCTTTAATAGGACTTCTTTTCACTATTGAGTTTGTCAGGCAAGTGCTTCCCTGTAGTTCTTAACCTGTGCAGGAATTTCTGTGTCACCGGCTACAACCACTTTCAGTAGCTTCCAAATTACTTTTCATAAGAGACTCTCCTTCATTATTTTCATTTGCTTATGTCGATTTCCAAAAGGCTTCAGCAGAGAACATTTGTGGCTGAGTCAGGTTAACCTCTGTGAGCTTCCATTTTGTCTGAAATCAACGAGGGGTGGTGGACACTCCCACCTAAACCAGTGCACAGTTGGCACTGAAGAAAGGACACATCCTTTTAGGTGCATTTCTGCGGGATGAATTGTGCAAGCAGGTTAGATGTGCAAAAAGTTTGCAAAATCATGCCTTTTAGTCCCTTGTAAAACACTGGGACAATTCACTAAAATCACTCTGCTTTATGCAGTGCGGACTTGCATGAATGCCAAGAATTATCCTGCTTATTTCAGGGCTCTCAGTATTATGCTTGTGTCTTCTGGGGAAGTTCAGGGTCACGCAGGCTACCTAAGTAAGTCACTAATGGGAGTTGCTGAAGGCTGAGAACAAGGCAAATGGGGCAGTGAATTTAAAAAAAAAAAACAAAAACCCAATCATTTCTTAGAACAGTGGTAGTTCCCTGTAGGAGCTATGGGATTCCTGGGCAGGAGAACCTCAGACCAATGGGGTGTAGGTCTTGGTGGCTTGCTGTGCAAACTCATCAGCAACTACGGCGTGGCAACCCCAACAGCACTTTCCCGCTAAGATTTCCAACCCCAAACATTTAGTGTCTTGATGTGTCAAGCCTGGCACTGGTGACAGCCAAATGATACTCTGCTGTTTGGAGAAGACCAGAAATGAACGTCAGAAGCTTTATTGGAGGCTAACAAGCACATGATCAGGATCTGTCACTGCCCAGAGTGAAGCAGATTCTTCTACTGGCCAGGCCTCCCTCAGCATTTGCTGGGTGTTACCTGCAGGCTTGGGGTAAGGGGGAGAGAGCAGGAGGACCCAGGCCCTTAAACATGACCAGCAGGTTGTGATGAGACCCTGAAGCATCAGGGCTTTATGGCTTTACTAATTCAGAGCAAAGGCGAGGGTATGATTAAAAAAAAAGAAAATCCTAAGTAACATACCAATGCACAGAGTCTAGTACCTTGCAGGAAGAGT